CTGTCCACACAGAAAAATCCCCATGTGGAAGCAGTCAGCTGTCATGAGCTGATGTAGTTGCATTTATGTTGACATCAAGTACAGGACATTTTGCACAGCTTCGTGAGTATAGCTATGCAAGTGTTCACAGCAGTATGCAAAAGCCATATTATGCTGCTTTCTGCTCACTGGTTTGAGCAGTTGCATTGCCATGACTGCCTCAGAGTGTGGCAGCATAGCTGGAGTTCAACAAGGATTTCGCAATCCCTGCTGTTGCTGTGTACCAGGAACCCCAAGGGAACAGCTCTCACTGGAGTCTCCTGAGTAAGGATTTGCAGGCTCTTCAAATAAAAGCTGAGGTGTTCATCACTCAGGTGATTAATGACTGGTGCACTGTCTCCATAAGCATTTAGGACCATTAGACAATGAACAATAAGCAGCCAAAGAGTTTCAGGTCTCATGGAAGAATATTGCTTCAAACAAGCCTTACTAGGCTTTTCTTTTTTTCTCCTGCACATGAAGGAGAGGTATTCCTAAACAGAGATAAGAGTATCCAAGCCACAGCTTCCGTTTCTCATAGACATCATTTGTGCCAAGGGATCTGAATGAAATAAAACATTGTCTTGGTTGATCTTTTTGGGAGGTTGTCTCCTGTATTGTAGACAAAAGTATGATGAGCTTGCAAGAAAGTCGAACTAGGAATTATTTTTTGCCCTGACCTTTAGAAAGAAGGGGGTTTGGGGTTTTGGTTTGGTTTTTGTGAAGCCAGTGAGATATAAAAGCTTGCATTTTGCTTAACGCTTGCAGCCATGCAGTTTATTTAGCCCCCCCCCCCAAAAAAAGATAAAAGAATCTGCCATATGTTTTCCTCTTTTGTGGGTTTGAATGGCTATTGTTGTGGAGACTGACTGGGAGTGGCAGTGGGAGACTGAGTGCGAATGCATCTTCTTCTTGGTCACAGCCTCAGCCTGCCATGTTTGTGCTGTGGTTTTATATATTCCTGTGTTCTCTTTCCCTCCTTTCCTATGTGCTTCTCATGTTTCCCTTCCCTGTATCTGGCGCTGCACTCTCTGAAGTTTCTCCAACCTCAGGTACTGTACCAGCTGGCAGAGATAACAGGCATGGAGCAATATTGACCATTAGGCTTGTCTCCTGGGGTGTGTTGGCACTTTAGAAGCATGCGCCATGTAAACCCTTTCAATGGGAAAAAATGAAAATTTTGTCCAGTGTCTTCTGTGGAGGATAACTGGCTCATTGAGATGGTTGAACATAATGCTTGAGCTGCTGCTGCTGCTGCTGTGCATGTGTGCATGTTGAGCTTCCGATATTTTGCTGTTGCTGTTTCTTAACAACACTGAGATGTCTCATCTGTTTAAGCGCAATGGGGCAGGTGGGAAATTCTTAGCAAAGGGATTGTGCCTACAGATGTAGTCTAAACTTTCAGAATATGTAATTGCGTACTGCTTTGTGCCTATTGTTGGTTAAGAACTTTCCCTTTCTGGAGCCAGGAAGCAATGGACAGGGAGAATACCTTTCCTGCTCTGGAATTGCTGTTCACAAGGCAAGACAGAGCAAGGGCTCTTGACCAGTGGTACAACACACAGAGCACTGAAGAATGAGAATGTATTTTGGAACCTTTAGTGCTCTGGGTTGGCTGTCTCCTGGCCAGGAAGGGAAGTCCTCTCCTGTTGAGCTTAGAGGAGCTGTTGCACTCACAGAAAGGAACAGAGAATTCCCTTTCATTGCTACCTGGTCTGTCTAGAATATCGTTCTTGCACTGAGTTTGAACATTTTGTAAATACGGTTTCCTTTTACTTACAGATGCTTTTCTTCACCATATTATTGCAGCTCTTTGTTTATTGATATTGCTTTGCAAATCTAATTTTGTGCAAGACTCCTCACCCTCATTATTCACTCTATTTTTATCCCCTGAAGTACAAAGGGTAGCAGATTGATCTGCTTTTAGCCTTAAAGAAGTGAAAAATTATGATTTATGATGCATAGTAACCACGGGTCCGCACATTTTGTCTTACCAGGACTTTCCTGAGGTGTTTTGGTGCTCTTAGTGAATTTTGTTCTGTGAGCCCCTACCATTGTATGCTGAACTGAGTGACAATATCACTATATATGTCCAAGAACTGAATGGACACTTATCATCTAATTTTTAGCATCTGTGAACAACTGTGTGTATGTTCCAGTTACCAGGTGAAGATTGAGAGGCTGTTGACTAACCAACAAGCTGCATAGATGCCTCTGTGTATCTCTTTTCAAAACTGGAATGCAGTCGATGTAAACTGATTCTGTCTCAGTCCCAGCCCGGCCAATGTTTTATTTGTGGTTGCAGATCATACAGGCCTTTTAATAATTGTGGTATTACTCAGCTTGGTTATTCAGTCATAATCAGTTCCAGCATTATTTTGCAGCTGATGTTTTGTTGTTTAAAGTCAGGTGCATTCATCAGTGGAAAAAAGTATCATAGGATTTTTTCCCCCTCCAGAACAGACGCATAAATAGAATAGTGTGTGTGTTTTTAGAAGAATTGAATGATGAGGTCTTTAGTTGCACCCGTGGGAGAGCTTGAAAACACCAAAAAAAGTTGTGTTTTGATTTCTACAGTGTAGAGGGATTAAGAAAAGAAATACTGAGTTTAATAATGTTAACAAGTGCAAACTGGGAAGTATTTTTAAAAACTCATATCTGATATTTCTGGCATAAAAATATTTTTACCCTATATTGCAGATTTTAAAGTTGCTTTTTTATCTAGCACATCTTCTACTGATATAGAACTCAGTAGAACAAGGCTTTTTGTCCTTTATACACCTTCAATTGGGCATATGGAAGGAGGGGAGTAGTACTGCACCAGCTGTCCCCCTTCCTGATCACCATGCTGCAGATAGAGCCTTTGCTATTGTATGGGCATAGTCTTTCTCTGTTCTCCTGAGAACCCCACCACCAGCAGAATCCCCCAGTCATTCATAACAAAAGTCAATATGCTTTAGATGGATGTTTCAAAGTCAGGAGAGCAGGAACAGCAGGCGCAACCCTTCCCATGGTTGTCCTCTGAAGAGAGTGATGAACTGAAAAGTCAGGCTTTGTTGAACCAACTATAAGAACTTATACAGCAAATAATAAATTGTCCTGCCTATTTTGACCATATCTGGCCTAGAAGGATGTCAGTCTAACACTGCTTATAATCAAATGATTAGTGTTTATGAGTGTGCTGCAACTCTTGATGGATAAGTGTGTGAACAGGCAATGTGTGCTTGCTAATGGTCAACAAATATTAACACATATGCCATTTTCAAAGGGTCCTTTACTCCATTGTTTCTTTAGGAGGCAGAGTTTGCTACTGCATGTGAGAAACCTATGAAGTATGTCGTTTATCATGTATGTTTAGGAATTAGCAGAATGCTGCTTTTAAAAGGCTTATTACTATTATGTCTCTCTCTGTTATACCATGGCTATAAGGAGTGCTTGATGTTTCTCATAAGGGTAAAGTTCTATACATTTCTTGTTTCACTGTAGAACTACTCCTTAACATTTGCCAGTCCCAGCTCTTTCTCTGGGGAAAAACTAGTGGATGTTCGACTGTTATCTTAAGAACTTAGGAGAGGCTTACTGCATTCTCTGTAGAACAACTTTTTACATTCTGTGCCCTAGAAAAAGCATCTGATGATTTCCATGGAGTGGGACTGGGACAGAAAATACTATGGATATTGCTATATAAATTACAACCTATGCCTATCTATTAAAACAAGAAGCCTTGTTGAGAAGAGAAGGATTAGTTGTCCGTTGATAGATGATGTATTATGTCTCTTTCCCCTGCACGCGCACACACACACACAATGGGAGAGAAATTGCTTTAGCATTCAGAGTACAAATTGACAAGGAAAGAAAATTAAGATGATTAGTTCTTCTTCAGGACCATATTTCAGTGCTCACATTTGTGGTTCATTCAATTTGGCAGTATCATATCACTTATTGAATGACTGTATATATGCATCTTTTGCAGTCATTAGATTTGGAGCAAATTAGTGGGTTGTTTCTTTTTCAATTTCCTCCTGTTGTCAAAGGAATAAACCCCTTGAAAATAGGTTTGGCTCTCCATCAGAGTTCATAAAATATTAACCCAGTCCTTCCAAAGACTACTTGCACTGTAGGCACACTCAAGGAAAGCAGTTGTTGTAATTTAGCAACCCATTAGAATTTTCTTTGAATAATTAAAAATAATAGAATGAATGCAATCTGATGTGTGGTCCCATAGCTTAGGGAAGGTCTGCTGTTTCAGACCTGCATAGCTGCTTTAAAAACCAAACTTCCAATGATGGAAAAATTTTGAAATGACATTAAAGCCCTATTGTCACTTATACAAGGTCAAAATGAAACTAAAAACTATAAATCATGATTTTTTAAAATTTTACTTGATTGTATTGTTTCAGAATTTTCTCAATACCAGGCTTTCTAAGTACAGCTACTTTTTTCATGTGCTACACTCTAGAATTTTCCTATTATCCCAGTTAAAGAACATTCTGTTTAGTGAGACATAGCACCACTACTCTGTGCTTTCCTCAGCTAATGAAAATGGACACCATTTGTATCTTTGTACGACAATGAGCGCAAGTGGAGCTCTTTACCCTGGGGAAAATAATTACTTAGAGGCTCTTGCAGTCGCATTTACTTTTAGCTAATCATCTAGCAAGCAGCACATCTGTTGTGTGCCTCAATCTGTTTTAGCTGAGCTCTGGTGTCCTAGCCGTTGACCACAGCAATAAATCCCAGCCATCTTATTCCAAAGCTGTGAGAAGAGCATGTGGCTAAGCTTTCTTCTGTTGCCTGAAATCAAAGCACGTGCAGTTTCAGATAAGAGTACTAGCTTCCCAACAATATGAATCCTTGCTGAAGGGTACATTGTACACAGTAACAGTTAGGACCAAGGGATGGTGCTCTTTCTTTATAATATGCCTAGCCAGTTCACCCTTTAAATAGGCAGTTTCCACCAATCTGCCCCCTTCTTGCCTCAGCCCTCCCTTGTGTCCTTGCTTGGGGTCCCCTGTCCCCCAGGATTAACATTTTGTGGCTATCTCTGGGCCACAATGAAATGGGGGGCAGGAAAGTTCTATTCTGCTGATGGAAAGGGTCCAATCTGTAGATCTGAACAAATGAAAGGTCGTTGTTGTAAACCTTTGCATTTGATAGAGGTAAGCCAAAGGCTTCAGTAGCTTGGAAACCAAGCCCATGTTTAGAGGCAGAGAATCAGCATCTTGGAATTACTGGCCTTACAACATAGTCCTTGGTTGTGCTTATCAGTTGGAATCTTACATGACAAAATGACCTCAATATCTACACCACAGCCTTTTATGTAATGTGTGCAGAACAGAGACCTCATTGAGATCAGGTTAAAAATCAGCTCTTCCACTTTAATACATTTATAGCTTATATCCAGTACAGGTAAAATTTACAGTCACATCACCCAAATGGGGTGAGATAGTTTCAAGAGGCACAGTACTTCAGAATCCTCATGACATTGCATGGTTTATGATTTAAGTGCTGCTGTTTCCAGCACTGCACATGCCTTGTCTGCACAACGCATTTGATAGATGTCCAAGGGTCCATCACCCCTCACAGTGTGCCTTTGTCACTCCTGATAGGCAATGAGGCTCTGCTTCCAAATCAAAGACTCCCTTTATCTTTAGGCCTGCAGTGCTCTCTCATTATGGGGCTAGATTTCAAATGAGAATATTCCCCTTCTCCCTCCTGAATCTAGCAGCTGAGCTTGTCTCTAATAACACATTTTGTATTCAGATACAAATGAGGATATACCTTTATGTCACAACGGACATCAGGGGAGGATTAGGCCTAAGCACACCAAATGTGTGGTGTACCCTCTACTCTGTGGTGACATCCTTTGGTCCTGTTCTCCTCCATCTGGACCTTTACTTTTCCCCTCTATTTTACTATTGCCACAGTGGGGAATTTGCCAGCATGTGTTAATATGATTCTATGTTCTTCCAGTCATGAAGTGACGGGATTCTACATTTATCTACTCCTATAGCAGAATGCATTGATTCTTTTAAGTCTTTTAATTTAGTAAACCTTCAACTAGTATGTCTGTAGTATCTTCATGCAACGTAATTATGCTATCCTGAGGTGATCGTTCTAATGGATCCTACTGTTCTATTTTTTTGCTTTTTGTACAAAATGGGATGTGTCGCTGCCGTTGAGACGTGCAGCTCAGGTTGGCATCTGATATGTATTAGCACCTCAGGATACAAAGGTAACAGTGCTTCAGTAGCAAAGCCCTTCTAATTATACCAGTTTTGCAGTTCGAACCATTGTTATTAAATCAGCATTACTTACACACCAGATCCCAGGACAGCTGGGATATATTTGAAGGGAAACCCACCCAGACAAGAATGCACAGACCCTAACCTCATTATGCGTTCTCTCTGTGTCTTAAGAAAAGAGGCTTCATTAAGGCTTCGTTCCTCCTTTAGAAAAATAATTTAGCTGTGTAGAAGTATGTCACATAATCTCCAAACCCAGTTAATTCTACAGGCTGGCCTATACATGACATTTGCCATAGCCTCTCCATCTCAGCTTCATCCATTCCCTTGTGGTAAAATGCTTACCACAGAAATAATTTCATTGCATCCATTCCAACAGATGCAAGTATGCCTGAAAGGGACATGGGCCCTCTCTCTCAGACGTAATGACAATGATTCTTATAGTAAACATCTACAGCAGAGTCCATGTCATGGAAAGCTGGCTTTGGTGGTATCTATAGTCATGCATCAGTCCTCAGGGTCTCTTTAGCAATCATTTACATACCTGGCAGATGCATTATTACCTCATCACTCTTTCTGACACTATTTCAAGTGCTTTACAGTAAACTGAAGAACCCTGAAGTTCATTGCAGTTTACTGCATGGTTTGATTTGCTCTTTAACCACTAGTGCACAAAGCAGGCCCGTAGCCAGGATTTTTTAAGTCAGGTGGCATTTCCGTGTCTTAGGGGGCACTGGCTAATCGAATTAAAGGTAATTTAATTCAGTTTCTGGGGGAAACAGAGAGGTGCTGTCTGGCTCCACATGGCCACTGTAGCTGGCCCTTCGTGCTGGACAGCTGCGCAGGAATACTCCGCTCCTTCCCTGCATCTGCCACTGCTCAGGGGACGTTGGCTGGATGGGAAGTCATGGGGCCTTGCCAGTGAGTCAGAGGCCTAGGCCCGAGATGCCCCCACTGTAGCTAGACGCCTGGCACAAAGCAATTTAAGCCAATTTTTTAAAATGCCCTTTAATTTTTAGAAGATGTTTGAATTTGACAGTTGCCTGTATGCATATCATTGCTTCTTTTTTCTGAACCATAAACCTATGCCTTTTCTCAAGTGATGATGATGATGATGATGATGATGATGATGATGATGATGATGATGATGATGATGATGACTCTTGCTGCCTTTGTGCCCAGCTTGTAGGCATCCTGGAAGCATTCAGATGGCCAGTATGTAAAACAGAATGGACTAGTTGTACCTTTGGTCCAATCCAGCAAGTGTCTTGTCTATAATGGGCTGAAATTCAGTAGGCTCAGCTTTCACCAATGTGGGGTTATAGTGATGGGGAAACATCACCTTTTAATTTCTGCCTTTTATGCAGCTCTTAAAAAATACATTTTCTGGCTAGAAAAATGTGGCAGCTCTCCAAGTGAATCTCTTTTCCAGTAATGGATGTATAGTGATGGGGAAGCCTCACCTGGTTAACTCCTGGCATTTGTACAGCTGCTAAAAGAACAATTTATAGAAGAAAGGTGGGAGACTCAAGGATGCTGTCCTATAGTTAATCCCACCATAATCTTGTTCTACATTCTTTTCTACTAGTCTGTTTTGTTAGTTTCAACTCACAGGGAATAGAAACCATTCCTGATCTAGGAACAGCACAAATTATAAGAACCATTGATTGATCATTTAAGGAGTTCCATGCCAGGTGTTTTGTCCAGGTATTTAAACAGAAAATTTTAAGCAGTTATTGAACTTGTGAACTTCAGGATCAGATTTCCTTAACAAACTAACAAATCTGACAGCATTTCTCAAGGCCCAAAAAGGATTGTGGATGATTCGTTCAGTACAGAAAGTAAATTATATCAAATATAGAAAGCTTTTTTCTATGCCAGCTCATGGCACTATGAACCATTTAGACTTTAAAGTGCTTGAGGAAACTGCTGTAATTATTGACAGAACAATCAAATACAAAAAAATGTCCCATCCCTCCCCCACCCTAGACATGTACACCGGTTGTCTCTGAAGTGTACATGCTGGGATTCATCCACCTATGATCTTTGAATATGCATTGCACTTTCTCTGGATTTTACTTCAGTGTTGTTTCAAATTCCTATTGTCATTATATATCGCCCATACCATTTAGAATACTTGACAGCTTTACTTTGATTGCTGTGATTTTGCATGATGCTGTGGAATGCTGTTGCTTTGCCATTGTGTCTGCTGTGCTGCACTAAAGTGGATATACATTTTGTTGCTAAAATATTGTAGTATGGATGATACTGCTGGCCTCTCTGTGTTTTGTTGTTTTTCCATGCCCACTGAAATACTTTTTGTTGTCAGAGAAAAGCAGCAGGAAGATGAGCTGTGTAGCTTGAAAATTTTCATCCGTCTTTGGTGCCAGTGTTTCCAAACGAATACCAGTCCAGATTCTTATGTGTGTGTGCTTTTCTGTTCCTTATTATAAGCTGTTCATATATACCTTTTTGTTCAGGCCATTTCAAAGACAAACTGCCATATGTACGTCTGCCTCTGTGAACCTGTAGGTACTGCTGGGGGACCTTGTGGGTCTTCAGCAGCAGGGGACCCATCTGTAGTCAAGCCAGCTTTTGTGATTATCATAAGTGTATTTAATTAATCCTTCAACCAAATCCTTACTTGTGATAGGAATTCAAGCGGGGGTGCTTTCATTTCATGGAGAGCCTTTTTTCAACCCTCACTCTCCCAGAGATTTTTTTTTTATAAAGGTAGATGGCAAATAAAAAGGACAGAATAGTTTTAAGACAGCTCATTTTATTTATTTATACACACACACACACACACAGATGGTGGCAAGACTGAACAAACTGCCTTCAAAACTCTGCTCTGTTTACTGGAAGGCAGACTTGAGGCAGAATCTGTGCCGATTAGTGAAGCAAGGGAGACAGTTTGTCTCTTACATGTGAGAGGTCTCCTATATAATAAATGAAAGTGTCCATAAATCTCTACAATGAAAGGCTGCCTTTAATCACCCCTTTTTCATTAAATTTGGAAGTGTGGCTTGTTCCCTATAATAAGACACCAGACCCAAAATAGCTTTGAAAAGTGAGTGAGGGAAACAAGATCAAGGTCTGTGTAAGCTCCAGGTTTAAAATGCATGCAGATTCCAGGAGAGACCTATCAGCTTCAGTTGCCTGTTCCTATCGTTATAAGAAAAGTAGACACCTGTTAAGGTCAGTTGCTTGCTAGGTTTGGATACAGACCAGAAGGAAAAGCCAGCGTCTGTTTCATTAAGTTTGATGCAGGGAGGAAAGAGAGTCAATGTTTCTCTGAAGCTTGCTCAAAAAGTTTTACTTGTCAGCTTTGCCAATTAATCATTGATCAGTTTGTAAAGTCTGTAATTAAAGCTTGTTAATTCATCTTCTAGGACTGCGGTGGCTCAGAGGTTAAGATGTTGAACTGCAGACCAGAAGGTCAGTAGTTCGGCAGTTTGAGACCCTAGTGCTGCATGATAGAGTGAGCTCCCGTCTCTGGTCCCAGCTCCTGCCAACCTAACAGTTCAAAAGCAAGAAATTGCAAGTAGATAAATAGGTACCACTTCAGTGGGAAGGAAACAGCATTCCGTGCGCCTTGGTGTCTAGTCATGCCGACCACATGGACACAGAGACGTCTTCAGACAACGCTGGCTCTTCGGCTTGGAAACAGAGATGAGCACTGCCCCCTAGAGTCAGATTCAACTGGCTTTTGAGCAAGGGAAACCTTTATCTTAATTCACCTTCTATCATTAATTGACCAAGAAAGCAATTCTAAAAAAGTCTACACAGAAGAAAATCCCATTTTATTTGCTGGGGTTTACTTCCAGGGAAGTCTTGTAAGGGTTGCAGCCTGAAGCCTGGAATCCAGATTTCATCACATTATGAGACTGAACACTAGTATAGCTTTTCAAAACCTTACAATACTGGATCACCAAGAGCCTAATTAAATGTGATGGTGAACTCGTGGGCACCATGAGTTTGTGGTCACGTTTAGTTGGACTCCAAGTGAGGAATGTCTCTGGCTTTTCTGAGAAGCTGTCAGTATTCTGATTATTTTTATTTTTTTTAAAAATGAAAGAGTAGACTTTATGGGCTGAAGAAGGTGGGGTTTGTTTGGCAAGAGCAAAGTTTGTTCACATTTCCCAAGCAGGACTTTTCAGTGAGATTCTGCCCAGAGAGCAATATAACAAAGCCATCAAGGCTAGAATAGTTTTAATAGCCAGGAGGGTCCATTTTCATCATACAATCTGACCTTCTGCCTTAACCCAGACCAGCTTATTTCACTCCGAGTTTACTGAGGCAGCCCATTTACAATGTTGTTAGTCAAAAGCATATTTCCTGTTCCCATTCATATCTTTTGAGGATTCCGGTCTTGACCCTGAGCAGAGTGCAAGGAAGGCTAAGAGATACTTTAAATTCCACTTTCAGCTGGTGCTGCCAAGAACATATAAAACAGATATACACAAAACATGCAGCTCCAATTTCATGGCAGGCAGATGAATTTAAACTGTTAAGTATCCTGCATATTTGCATCACAAAGCCATTATCAAGAATATATTTCCCAGTATATCTGTATAGTAGTTAGAGGCATATCCCCTTCTTCCTGTTTATTTTTATCACTATCACAGAATAAGAGATGGGGGGGAAACAGCCTTCTTTTTTGTTCTTCTTTTTTAAATCCATGCAATGCAAATCTCATTTGAGTGAAATAGTCTGGAAATTGCAAGGTCTGAGAAGTGGTGTGATGAGCACTTCCTGTTTCTGCAGAGCTTAAAACAAATTAATGTGTGATTTGCAGAAAACTGCTGGCAGAGAACTGTTCACTGAGAAATGTTCTAGCTACAGTTCAGGGTGTGCAGCCATTTAATTTAATTTTGCTTTGCCCGCTCCATGGCAAATTGGATCATTCTATTCTGTTAAAAGTTTTTAAATCTAATTGTGAATTTAAAGGAGACTTGGTTACTTAAGGGAAATTCTGTCTGTTTAAAGGCATAGGATTTAAACCAGTTGCCCATTTAGCACAATATCTTTCCTACAAAAATAGGAGTGGGTAGAAATAAGATGCAAAGTTCTCTTCCCATCTTGCCACTGTTTGAACTCTAAACTACAATGCTAAGACCATGGCCATACAGCCCGGCAAATCTACAACAATTAATGAACTCTGGCTGTGAAAGCCTTCGACAACATATTAAGCTGCTTCTGTTCAGCATTGCAGGTAGTTCAGCAATATATTAGGCATGTGCAAAAAGAACAGCAAGGCAATAAGAATGTCACATTTGCAGTGGTGTGCAGACAAGGCAAAGTATGCTATATTAAGGCTCCAGCCACACGGACGTTGGGGGGGGGGGTTTGAGCATCCATATGACATCTTTCTCCATGACATCATCCTGTTTCCAGGTTTTCCCCTGCTTTGCTACAATCTATGCAAAGAGAATGCAGTTCAAGCACATTAGCAGCATGCTGCCTTTCTCATTTTTGAAGCTCCCACCCACATTGATGCCAGCTTCCTTCTGTCAGAGTCTCAGTGCCATAGTATGAGTTGGATCCAGCTCAGGGATCATACAAAGTCTGTGCACAGATCCTTAATGTTCCTCCCTCCCTCCCCCAAGCGGCCAATGGGATATGGTGTGGGATAGAGCAGGGTATAAATAAATTTGATGATAAAGCTGTAGAGTGTTGTGAGCCAAAATTTTACTTCATGAGCCAAAAATGGCATTAGCTTTAGAACTGTGAGCGGGCCTACATTATTTAAAAAAAAATCAGTTTACAAACATAAAATCTGAACTATTATTATTTGTTTTACAAATCATATGTTTATATGGAACTTACTTATATTTGTATTACTTATATAATTCTTTTAAACTATATTTTAGAAATGATTTAAACATTATAACTATAAACAGAATCAGGGCATATTTTGTTTTTTAATTTAACTTCCCTTCTTTCTCTGTTTTCCAGAAATTAAAAACTATCAGTGTTAATATTATTCCCATTTTAAATATGCAGTTAAATTCTCATTAAGTTCTCCAGGTGATCTGTATCTAGCCAATTTCTAATCTTAGTTTTGATGGCATTCATCAAGCCTCTCTGGTAGGGCTGCCAAATCCCCCCAGGGGGCGGAATTCCCCCCGCTTTGGAGCCCCGATTTCCGTCCCGCAGAATCGGGGCCCGGGGGAAACCCCACCCCCGCATGCACGTCACTTCTCTGGTGTGCGCACGCACACCAGGAGACAACACAAAGTCCCCCGCCGGCACAGGTGAGTACATTTGGCAACCCTACTCTCTGGCGATCAGCACTTGAGGTTTGAAAAGTTCCACAAACATCTAGAAGATTTAGTTTGACTAATCTGCAAAGTTCTGAAATGGCCATCCTTTCAGTCCTCAGTAGACAGCAATAGTGCAGCTAACTGTTCTTTCCCTGCCTAAATCATAAGGGTCACTGACAAAATTCTCATTTGCTAGACATGCTAACATAAGTAAAAATGGAACATACTAGCTTTCTCCTGGCAGATGTGATAAATGAATGCGAGTGCTTTGTTTTAAAAGGGTTCTCAGATGTACAGTTACTAATATGAGAATATTGTGTTTTGCATTGTCCTTGAGGATGTTCTAAGTACAATATTTCTGATATGTTTGAAAATATTCACATACCCATTAAGAGAATGAAATCACACAAGAAGCTATAAACATATGTCCAGACTTGCAGGTATGTATGACTTTTCAGTCTTCTGACTAGCATCTCACAGTGTACTAAAATAGTTGTTTGTTAAATTTGGTAGTTTTTAAGTTATGGAAGCCATTTAAGGATTCACACGTGCTGATTGCACTTGCCTTTCTCAAAACAGTAAATGGCTGAATTATGGTTTTTCATAGAGTACCACACTGTTGTACTGTGCATTGTTCCACACTCTTGGAGCTTCCTATTTAGGCGATCTGATCATAAGGTTTACTTGCTGTATTAATAAGTAGCTTTATTTTGAGAAGCAGGACTTCTTCTAATATCTTTATGCAGAGCATTCCTTTTCCTTTTGTTTTTCAGTCTGGCTATGCCTACCTTTGTAGTTCACAGTCACGAGAACTTTGAGAACCATAGTTCTCTTACAAGAACCAACACAATCTGTTGAGTCAGTGAATGGAGTCTAAAAACAAACAGCATGCTTGTAGGCAATGGCAATTATCTGTCTTTGGCTGAGGTCTCCCACTTCCTGCTGCTTTTTTGCATGTTTACTCTGTGCTTGCCCACCAGGCTTTTTGCATGAACCTTTTGTTTGAGAGATTCCAAGCCTCTCCCACACCTGCCCACTCTGTAGCTGAATGGCATAGCTATTTCTAGTGACTGTCTACAAAGGGAAGAAAGTGAAACTGGAGCTTTGTTCTTTTTGCAGTGTGCTTGGTTGGTTTAATCCTGGAATTTTTTGTGCATATGTCTTGATCCACTTTGCCTTCTCTCATATGCACATTTAGCTTCAGGGGATGGCAAAGCCACAGGACTAAACATGCAAATACCTCTCAAAATGCAGTTTTTGCATCTCCCTCCTAGTTCCAACATGGTGGCCTTCAACAACAATTGATCTCACTACCACTGCAACTGTGGCCCCCACCACAGAGGCCACAACCACCACTACCACCACCACTGAAGCTACAACCACCACTACAGAAGCAACTACCACCACAGAAGCTACAACTACTACGGAAGCAACTACCATCACCACAGTTGTTGCTAGCACAATAGCTATTGCAGCAGATGATTCTGGTACTGCACCTTCCTTTCTATTAGCTATCTAAACCATACTTAGATCTTTTTTCAAACAAGTTATGCCATTAATTAAGGCTTGACATTAAAATAGGAATGCCTTTTTAAACCATACAGCATAGAGATTTTCTCAGTAATACAGGAATTGGTTAGCAGCAAATGAAGTACTGAATGCTGTGTACTCCCTAGGTAGTTTTGATAAAGTTGCTTTAAGAATGACTCTTCAGAAAGGCCCATCTGCCTCAAAAACAAACCACTGGCATCCATAACTATCACGAAAATAGTTGTAGAAGACATTACTATCAACACCTATATTTAGAGTGCCCCAGAGTATCTAGATAACTGCCTAAATCCCCTTTTCTAAGATGTCCTGTATAGACCAGTCACTGAACACACATGAAGCTGCCTTATACCAAATTAGACCTCTGGTTCATCAAAGTAGGTATCGTCTACTCAGACAGGCAGCAGCTCTCCAGGGTCTCAGGCAGAGGTCTTTCACATCACCTCCTACCCGATCCTTTTGACTGGAGATGCCAGGGATTGAAGCTGGGACCTTCTGCATGCCAAGCAGATGCTCTACCACTGAGCTGCAGCTCCTCCATCACTGAGCACCAAAAATGATATTTTATTAATGGGATCAGTCTCATACAGTAGTACTGAAATGAATGTCAAAATAGTATCAACTTTGTTATAAAGAGCCTCTGTAGGCACACACAGAATTTCTAACCAGACCAACCCCCCCAAGAGCTTCCTGCTGCCCCAGATTGCATAGGTAATAACACAAAGCATGGACAACTGACCAAGAGGAAGGAACTGGGAATTCAATTATTTGGATCCCAGTTTTCATTTGCATTCATTAGAGCACAGGACACTTAGCAGTAGCACCATATCAAACGGCAACATTCAGAAGAAAAAATAATCTTTCATCAAAATCAAGTGAAATACGAATTGAAAATGCTGCATCTTTCACTAAGAAAAGAAAATAGGGTTTCCTGATTCAGATATGGAGAATATTATTCCCTTGCGGAGCCTAAAAACAGACTAGAACAGATTATTTTAGTGGATTAAAGTAGCTCTGGTCAGCAAAATTCTTAATGTGACAAAATCAGTAATGTGATTAACTCTGTTATGGATCTGATTCATTATGGGGCATGATGCCCTTCATGGTAAAAATTCCAGGAAAAAAGGTAAGATCTGTAAAATCTTTGTAAACAAGGAACAGCTGTGGTTTTTTCATAATGAATAGCAAGGGCATTCTGAAGATTACTTCTTACATATTTACCCTGGGGAGGTCTTTGGCTAATAAACTAGGCTACTCAGCACTAGATATTGCAGCTGTTGATTTAGCAGAGGGGGGGGGGAATGTAGTTTTGGGAGGGGGGTCTACAGCCACAGAGGGTTAATGAGATTGACCTGATGTTCTTCCCCACTGTATCATCATAATAAATAAAGCTGTTTTGGTCGGGGACTCCCGACACGCTCTCAAATCAATATGCTGCGAGATCTGTCACTCACAGGCTGTCTCCATGTACTGGTGGATGCCTTGTGTTAGTCCCGCCCACCCACCCACAGAACTGGTGGCCAGCCTCTCAGTCTCGTTATGCTGGGCAGGATGGACGCTCCAGCGGGCGAAAGGGGTCGTGTTTGACCGCGGACGCTTGTAGGTGGCTGGCCAGCTGGCAAGCAACCAAGAGGGCGCCAGGGGTGGCCGGATGCGGGGCCCGCACCTGCTCACAGAGACACTGTGGTGGACTTTGTTGCCCACCGACGCCTTCAGGTACCCACGTGCCCGGTGAGTGGCCCGGAGGCGGCCGGCCGCGGGGAATACTCTGGCGGTGAGGGCCTCCTCATGCTGCGCCCGGTGAGCAGCTGGCTGCCTGTGAGTGGCCAGGCACCCAGCCACCAGGTGACAGATGTGACTTCCACAGGCTTCATGGCGTCAGCCCTCGCCCCCGGGGTCTTGCTAGAGCTCATTACATTGACTTTGCAATGGGCTTTGTGGCTAGTACAATATAATAATCATAATAATTAATAGTATTTGTATAGCACTGCAGAGGGTTCAAAGACCTTCACGTCAGTAGGTTACTATCCTCATATTGGTTGCATTCAGATATCACAATAAACCTTGGTTTAATCAAGCCCTGCCCAAATGGAGATATTTAGTCATCACTGTACCAGAATTTGTAGCTGGATGGGAGCTAATTGTGGTTTGTTGAGATGTCTGAATTCTTACACCACAGTTTTTTTAATAGCACCACCAGGCTGCAGAGATGACAATATAGGGAGGATATCTTCTTTGGAGTGCAGGACAGAGGCAAGATGTTTATGCATAAACAGGATTTTTGTAATTTATATCTGATGGCTCAACCAACCAATGCCTATCATGGCATTGGAATGCAGCTATTGTAGATAAGGAAGGGTGGCTGAGGCTGAGAGATACTGACTAAACTAAGATGACCAAGTGAGTTTATGGCAAAGGAAAAATTTGAACCATGGGCTTTCTGGTTTTGTGCAGCCAGCTGTCTAAGTTCCTAAATAACAAGAAGTCCCTCAGTAAGTCCAATTAAGAGAACTACTTTTCAATGTAAGGTAGCCATTTCATGGTTTGCAATAACGTCTTGCTAACGTATATCAAAGTTAAAGCAGATCATTGTAGCACTTGATTGAACTTGCCTTAAAAACTCTTGCACGTACAGAATCTCATTGGCATCGGTGGCAATGCTTAGGCAATGCTTAGGTGGCAATGCTAGGTATACAAACTAATTGCTCAGCTTGTAATTTCTCAGTAACTACTCATGATCAAATGCCTCATGGATAATCATGCAATGGAATCAGATGCCCCTGCACAGTGATAAGTGGCTGGTAGAAGAAGGCCCCACACTATAAGCATGTGTCAATGAAATTCGTTTTGTTGGATAACGAAATACTTCTCTGAAATGCAGACTTCAAAATTCCACTCTGTAGGAGCTTATTGTTGAAAATGTGCTCTAATTTCCAAATGATTTTTGTTTGATAACCAAAGCAAAAGCTAGAGTTTCTGATATAAAACTTTCAGGCCAATTAAACAATTGTATAAAGACAACTGATTCTGAGAGCCAGTCTGGTGTAGTGGTTAATCCACTTGCACCTGCTGATGTGACCTTGGGTCAATCACAAGCTCTGGCACAGCTGTCCTTGAAAAAGAGCAGTTTGTGTCAGAGTTCTCTCAGCCCCACCCACCTCACAGGGTGTCTGTTGTGGGGAGGGGAAGGGAGAGGAGTTTGTAAGCCGCTCTGAGACGCCCAAGTGAAGGGCAGGGTATAAATCCAATCTCCTCCTCCTCTTACCTAGGGTAACCTTTGCAGACTATGGACAAAATTCTTTCCAAGTCTTTTTAATATTAAGATGACCATGTGGACTGAATTTCACCTTTGGTGCACAAAGCTAAAGTGAGTTTCCAGAGCCTAAAGGGCCAAGCCATTCACACTCAAGCTTCAGTAATCAATTTCCCTGGAAAAAAATCAAAGTGTATATACAATCCATTAGTCTTTCACTACAAGCTAGCAATTCAGTGAAGAGCCTCTCCTGTTGGTTACTTCATCCATCAAGTCTTGCTAGGTTGTTCAGACTCTTTGGGAGGAGTCTCAAGATAATTTAAGACCCAACTACACAATAGCTCCCCGCTCTCCTATCTGGTCTCTGCTGCTGGGAGTGAAGTCTACCAAGCAAAGCTACCCCCCAAAAATGTACCCTCCTCTATCAGTTCAGGAAGTCAGCTACACGGACTCCACATATGTTCTGTGCTGGCTCACCATGGAAACACTGATTTAATTCCTTTGATCCTCCAAAATTAGGGTAATCTATGCATTAACATTATTTGCCTTTGTTCCATGCTCTGCAAACAGACAAGTCAAATGCACAGAGCAGAAACATTTGAATTTTCTGAATGCTAGGAAAGTAAAAATTAGAGGAGTCTTTCAATGATCCCTAGAGTGGCAATCAGCATATTGGTTGGAGAACCTAGCCTGCAGTGCATTGTACGAAGTTGAGTTGGTACTCTTTCTGTGTTGTTCACGACATATGCAGAACAGAGCTTGGGATCTGGCCATATCACTTCAACGACCAGTAGTCCACCTAATGTAGGAAGTGAAGGAGATAGAACTTAGTTTTTGACGGTCAAGTGACCCAGAAATTGTAGATAACACTAATTTTTAGCAAAATTTATCCCTTACACCTCACAGGGCCTAAAAGTTGAAACCAGACACTCAGTGCGTCTTGGTCCACTATTCTGCCTATAAGAATGGGTGGGAACAACATAAGCTTTCGCAGAAAATGTCTTCCTCATTGGGTAATCTCTTCTGAAAATGTTGCTCTATAGTTTGTTTGTTTTTTAAGAAATGTAGCTCACCTTCCAAACTGCTCACTACAGAATAATTAGGGGTTGGGTCGGTGGTAGTTTTAGCATAGTCTCTCCTTGCATTTCAGTGAGTGATTTTATCTGGTGTGATAGAGATTTGTCTATAACGTTGACATTTCAAGGAACATATTTACAGAAAAGTTACTATTGGTATTTGACATGTAATTTGAAGTGGAAACGCAAGACATTCTCATGCATTTCCCATGTGAAAGAGTGCTTTAGCATCCAAATCCTGTTGTACACTATGCTTTAAGTTTTTCCTCATATTAAAGTGATGAGTTAATTCAGAAGACAAATTAGAATGCACATTTGTCTATAACTCAGTATACTAACCTTTGTTCTAACCTGTTCACTAGCTGGCGATGGAAAGCCCATCTGGGACGTAAAAGCTTCACCTACCAGTAACTGGGCAAACATCACCTGGAACCACAAGTTTGATCCTGAAACTGAGTTTGTGGTTGAGTATATCAACAGTAAGCATTGGGGTGTGGGAATACTTCAGGGTCCTTGATGCCACCAGAGATCCTGGCATCTCTCAGGGGTTTAATGGATTGTTATGTGATGATAACTACAGTGTAATTTAGAGTCAAACTAAACTAAACACAGGAGGATCCATGAATGCCTTTACAGCATGTTTTTTTTTAATTGTTAAAGAGCTGCTGGGCCCTGGATCTGAATCAGGGGAGAGGCTTAACTCTTCCCTTCTCTTTCCCAGCCTCAAATGGCCCCTCCTAGAACTGCTATTTGTTTCATTAGGTAACTATATAGGCAACTTTAATGTTTCCATTGGTGAGGTAAACAGCAGCTATGGGGTACTGCTGTGTGATATTAAGAAAAGAGGGGAAGACCCTCTGCCACAGATCCTGCAACTGCTATTTAAAATTTAGAAATATGCCGAAGAGCTGTTCACTGATCTTCATATGTCTCAACAAGTTTTATCTCTTTCACTTAGTCTAGAGGAGAGGACAGGCAAGGAGAAGGCATAGTATTTAATTTGTAAATCAGATTAAAGTGGAACTGTGATTTTTATGCTGGTGTAGTGGTTAAGTCTGCCAGCTTGGTATAATGGTCAAGAGCGGTGGACTCTAATCTGGAGAACCGGATTTGATTCCCCACTCCTCCACATGCAGTCAGCTGGGTGACCTTGGGTCAATCACAAGTTCTCTCAGGCTGCAGTCACACACATTAAACAATCCACTTTCAGTGCACTTTCCAACTGGATTTTGCCAGTTCACACAGGGCAATTCTGCATCTAGCATTTGCTCCACATTTTCTTAACTGGAAGGAAAAAGTGCAGCTCAAAACCACATTCAAATACCTCAGGGCAACGCCATACTGACTGCAAAGTCACCCCTAAACAGCAAAAAACCCAGCCATAAATCTATGCAGAAGGTACGATAAAACCTGATGATCAAAGAAAGTGAAAGCGGCATGCATTGCAGAGGGGAATTTCTGTTCCAATGTGGGTTTGGTAAGACAACGGAGGGAAAAGCCAATGCAGAATCAGCTACAGTAAAATCCAGTTGGAAAGTAGATTGAAAGTGGTTTATTTAGTGTGTGTGACTGCAGCCTCAGAGCTGTTCTCTCAAGAACAGTTCTCTCAGAGTTCTCTCAGAGTTCTCTCAGCCCCACCTAAATCACAGGGTGTCTGTTGTGGGAAGAGGACGGGAAGGAGATTGTAAGCCATTCTGAGACTCCTTTGGGTAGTGAAGGGTGGGGTATAAAATCAACTCTTCTTTTTCTTCTATCCTATGGAATTTAATTCCCTCCCCATCCCTTTGCTGGTGGTTTCAGAACAATGCATCCTGATACAGTTGGTTTTAAAAACTGACCCAAGTTGTTTGTGGTGGCTGCAGAAGTTCATAGAATAAAATAGATTCAGGTGGGTAGCCGTGTTGGTCTGAAGCAGCAGAACAAAGTTTGAGTCCAGTGGCACCTTTAAGACCAACAAAGTTTTATTCAAGGTATAAGCTTTTGTGTGCAAGAACCTGCACACGAAAGATTGTACTTTGAATAGAATAAAATAGATTTCCATAAATGTTCAACTGGCAGCAAATTTTTAGGTGAGGTTTGGAAAATGAGACTAATTGTAATTTGAGAGAGTTATAGGGTTAAAACCCACAGCCATCATAGGAAAACATTTGGAGTCTGCCACTAGTCCAACCAACTGTAACAGAAGAGCTTTGGAGATTAATAGGAAAACTGCATTTTGGTTTAGAATCTCTAGAATTCCAGGTCTGTTCCTATTTTTCTGTTCTGAACATTTGTTTTAGTCAGTAGCCATCAAACTAACCAACATATACTTTGTTCACAATCCATTGCAGTCCCACACTGTTTTATCCTGATTTGCTGAGCACATTAAGCAGACATTATATGAAGTGTATAATTATGTGTTTGATAGTTAAACTCAGATCTCATCTGACTTTCTTTCTCTCATTCAAAGTATGTATATGTAGCTATGCTTTTAATTGTTTTAATTTGCTGGGGCAGCCTCTATATTGTATTCTTGGGGTTGCTTGTAGCAGATGAGGTTAGTTTTTCATCATTTGCATTACCCACAGTATTTGAAATAAGTTATCAATAAGTAACCCTTGTGAGACTTTTACCTAGCATCACAAAATAAAAAGTGTTTGATGCAATGCCTGTCACTGCACAGAAGTCTTATTCTACTGCCTTGTGCCTATACAGCCAGTACCTGGAGTATCTGTCTTTTATGAGATGCTTCTCATGTGTCTTGTTGGGTGCTCCACTGGTAAGCCAGAAGTGTAAGAACCTGTTTCTTAGACGTGTCTTTAAGGGATGCCAATAATGCTCTGATAAACCCAGCCACTGCTAGCAAAAGGGTTACTCTGGATTTAAGCAGTTTTGTAACATCAACTGGGGATGTTTTTGCCAATGATTTGCTAACATCTAAGTGCAGTATTCAGACAGGATTATTAAAACTCTTAGTGTACAAAGAATACTTGCAGTTTCATAGGATTTACCTATACCACAGTTTTTAACAAGGTTGGTTGTATCTCTTTAATGTATGAATGTTTGCTTTAACCATATAAATTTAATATAGGTTTAACCTTATTTTACTCCACCCGCATGTTCCTAATAAGAGATTTTAAGTGAGCTCTATTTAACCCTGTTCATCTATTAGTTCAGAAAATGTACTTTTTACACTGCAATCCTAAGCAAAGTTATATCCTTTCAAATGCATCGAAGTCTTAGATGATGGTCCTGCTGATGATGGTCCTGCTAATATAGCATAAGGTTGCTTCCAGAGGGGGGGATTGCTCAGATGTGATTGTATCCTTCAGATTCAGTATGATACCACCAACCTAAGTAAGCGCTATGCCAATTGCTTCCAGCCCAAATAAGGGGTATTCAAAGATGATTGTGCGAAGGCCTTCTGATTTATTTTTCGTGTACTGCTGATTTTGTGCTAAATTGCTGAACTTGTAGTATGGGAAGGTTCAACTGAGTACAGTCTAAGGATATTGAAATAGGTGCTTCCTTAAACTAAATGCTGGTTCAAAAATTTATTTTTGTGCTTACAAGTAGAATGAATTGCTGGCACAACTTTTGTACACTAATTCCTGAACTTTGAATTGATCGTATGGATATTAACTCCGTGAAACCATGGATATTAACTCTGTGAAACATCCCTCTAACTCACTGCTTATTATCAGCAGGGACATGTGTCTTTTTAGTAGCCCAAGGTGTCTTTGGTGGAATTTGCCAGTATGGTGAACTCTGGTTTTTCTCATAGCTGCCTTTGATGTAAGGTTTCTGTTTCTTAGGTAACAAAACAATGAAATCTGCCACTGATAAACCCTTTATGGAGCTGAGTGACCTGACTCCTGGGGAGAAGTATGTAGTACGGGTTTTTCTCAAAGGGAATGATACCATCACCAGCTCGAACATAACCTTTAATACAAGTGCAGGTGAGATGAGGTTCAGTCCCACTGTGTAATACATCTTGGAGATATTTTGTTCCATTCCAGACTTTATTGCTTTTTTGTGCCATTTCTTCAGATGGAGGAATTAAGGCATGCATGGAACAAACTTCATCCACACTTTTGCTGACATTGCACATGCTGCCCTTCTTATAGAGCTAACAAATTGAAATGTATCATCGCTATTGAAGTTATCTGAATACATATCTATCTCATTTTTATCCCATCCTCTCTCTGAGAAGCTTAGGGTGGTGCGCATGTTCTCCCCTCCTCCATTTTATGCACTATTTGCTGAAAATGTGTCAGCATGGCCTTTTAGCAAACTAGTCTGATTTTGCATCATAATGCTTATAACAAGGGCAGAAGAACTATGGCTTTTTGTTTAGACCTGGAGATCAGCTCTCCTCAAGAAACCCGCTATCCTGTTGCTATGTGTTACATTTATGTGTTGAGGAGGTGGATTGCGCTTGTGTCCACCTGCTAAACATTGTCATGTTGCCACCAATTATTCTCATTGCCATGTAGCCAGCTGACGCATGGACACGTGTAATCATATGAAGAGTTTTATATCCGGGCATTTGTGGAAAAACGTGTGAGAGATTTTTTTCACCAGCAGAAGATACACAAAGAGATGTGCCATGCTTATGCCAATAAATGACATCATAAATAACAATCTGGAAATCTTATCAATAAACAGTACAGTTCTAAGCACAGTTACTCCCTTGTAAGCCCATTGACTTCAAGAGCTTTAGAAGGGTGTAACTCTGGTTAGGATTCAAGTAACTAGCTCAAGTGGTAGCTAATCATGCATTGTAATATCCCAGTTGACTTCCTGTTCATGGGTGTTCATGGTAGCTTTTTTGGTGAATCAAGTCAGCAGTTAGGTGCAGATTTTATGTAAGAAATGTCTGAAATCTACTCAATAAAAGCCCAACAAGAGGAATGGGACAGACATTGTTTAGCAAGCTGTAAGCTAAATGATATCAAGGAACAAAGTTTGAGTCCAGTGGCACCCTTAAGACCAACAAAGTTTTATTCATGGTGTAAGCTTTCATGTGCAAGCACACTTCCTCAGATACAGACTTGCATAGGAAAGCTTATACCTTGAATAAAACTTTGTTGCTCTTAAAGGTGCCACTGGACTCAAACTTTGTTCTGCTTCAGGCCAATACGGCTACCCCACCTGAATCTGATATCAAGGAAGTTTTATAAATATAAAATACTTAAAACATATGGTGGGATTTAGACTCCGTATAGTAGAAAACACTCTGACTTCTAATATGAAGGCATGTGAAAGAAAATTCAATGACATTTACTGTGAGTGAAGTGCCTAAAAATGAAGCACTGTACAAAATGCAACTAATAGAAGAACCTTCTGATTTAGATAGAAATGAAATGAAAAACTGGAAGACACAACAAAAATTATTAGGCATAATCCAACTGAAGTTATTTTGAAGGCATTTTAAAAGGAAGAGAATCAATTAAATTATAGTAGATAGTAAAGAGGAGCAACATGAGAATATATAGTGGGTAGGAACAAAAACACCAAAAAATCCCAAAGACAGAAAATACGATGAAAAGAGATGAGGTTTAACAAGCAATGAAAAGGATCATGAGGAGGAAAATACCCCATGAGAGATAAAAGATAAATGATATACTAAAGAACGGACCAGAGTATGGGTAGATTTAAGAAAGAAAGAAAAGTTAGTGATATCTTATAACTGGCAATAATGAGACTGAGCTAATGATAGAATCTGAGAAGACAAAAGAAAAGGATCAAAAACAACAACAGGATCTAGAGTCTGAGGCACAATTTAAAAGTGAATCTGGTAGGGCAAAAGAGTTTCTTAGTTTAAAAAAAAGTATAGTTGTAAACATGTCTCATTAGGGTTGCCAAGTGCTTACCTGTTCCGGAGCGGGGGAGTTCAGCCTTGCTCTGGGAGTCTTCGTGCACGCGCTTTGCGAGTCACAAGCACATCACACGAAAGTGACGCAAGCACGTCGGGGGCAGGGCCAAAATCATCCAAGGGAAAGCCATAGAGTTTTCCCTCAGATGATTGTGGCCCCGTCCCCAACGTGCTTTGGGGGTGGGGTTCCCCCCGAGGGCCCGATCCGGCGGTGGGGAACGGGCCTCCAGGGCGGGGTTTCCCCGCCCCCCGGGGGGACTTGGCAGCCCTATGTCTCATTATTCTGTTCAGTGGGGTTTACTCCCAGGACTGTGTTCTTAGGATTACACTGTCAGCATATCATTTATACTGTGCTACCACTTTTGCAAAGCAGCTTTGTGTGCTTAGTATGCACACCAGAGTTCCTTAACCCTTGAGACAGGGTTTTTTTCTGGGGGAATGCGCTGGAATGGAGTTCCGGAACCTCTTTAACAAAATTCTTTTTTAAATGCTTAAAAATTCATGAGTTTTCAATATACAGATTGAAAAGTTCATTTCCCTCTTGAGAGTTCCAGCACATCTTCTCCCCCCCCCCCCAGCCCTGCCTTGAGGATATGTGCTGCCATGCTAACTGAACACATGCAGTTGCATTGCACAGGCTGGAGACCAGTTTCAGCAAGATGATGCTTAGCCCAAGCAAAGGCTCACAGGGAAGCTATCTACCTCACAGCTAAATTGGGCCGCAGTGAAGGTGAAGTTCAGCTCTCTGTCTCACAGCTAAATTGGGCTGTAGTGAAAGTGATGGTAGTTTTCTGAATTGACAAACAGAATGGTAAGACAATAGGCCAGAGGAAAAATAAGAAATGGTGAAAGTATGATTCATACCCACTAACCCTCTAAAACGTAAAAAAGTCTGAAGCTGCTTGTGCCTATATTTCTGCTTGTGACAAAGGTCTGAATTCAACACTGTTGTGAAGCTGAAATCACTAGTACATATACTGTTCTTTGAAATGTTTCATGCTATACTTTGGCAGGGTGGGGTTAATGTGATTTTATTGTATTGTGTTCTTTATCTTGGAATAATAAGACACTTTGAGCCACAAGGGAAAGGGGAGAATTTATTCATGAATGAAGACACTAATACAAAAAAAAAACCCACTTGGACAGCTGAAAAGTACAGGGCCTTTGTGGTAATTGTAAATAGTTACACAGATTTGATACAATTTTAGCAATCTCTTTGGTAAGACTGACATCCTTCCTGCTAATGGACAGAGGCAAGAAAACGAAGTACTTGACTTGGGCATGTTTCATTTATGCTGTGCCTAGATATCAGTTTGTCTGTAGTATTGAGTAGCATGTGATATTGTTTTCTCCTTCCTCGTGTCAGGTGAAATCTTTCAGATTTGGAAATGCATGGAAAATATCTCTGTACTATAGCTGATTAGATCCATTACTATGACCCTGGTTTTACCTTTCAGGAGTTCACAAATTATAATGTAAGCAAAAACTGTAGATTGTATTGTGACTTTTTTTGTTGTTGTTCTATTGGATGGGCAAGAAATGTCCCACTGGAAAACATGGCAAAGTTCTCCCTCCTCACTGCATTTGGGTACACCAGGCTAAAGTTAGAATTATTATTCTTCTCTAACATATATTGGAGATGTGTACTTCACCAATTGGATGCTATCAGTTAGGTATTTTTGCTGTACCCCTCCCCCCAAAAAACTTGTAGGTTCTAGTCTGTATGCCTTCCTTATGGCATTAGCATGTTTTGGCATACATGTTTCAGTCCATGTTTCTCCTTATTAACACTCTGTATGTTGCAACACCAACATCAATCATAATTTATTTTGTGCATACAAGCGGTCTCTGGATCTAGACTATTGGGCAAATTATAAATTGGATATTTTTTCATTCTTGGGTGTTGTAGGTTTGAGTGGGAGGTAGCCAACTGTTCCAGGCATTACTGGAGGAACGTGCCTTTGATGTTGGCCTGGAGCCAGGCATAACTTCATGTCTGCAACACCCTCCAACACTGTTTTTGGACCTTTTGGGTATAGCAATATATAGAGGACAGATTGGCACCAAGCCACAGCTGCTGTCCACGTGTACTGGGTCATGCCTCAAGCATTCACCATCAGGCAACCTACCTTTATTCCTCACATTAAATGGTTTGCAGTCATTTTACCATCTTTCTGCATTCCAAGGAGGTGAGGATTATACTGTCCTCTAAAGGAGCTGCTGTATGCTACCGTCTATGTACTGCTTGCTCCAAGCAGGAGACACTCTTAGCCTTTTGAGTTGTATGCTGTATGTTTGGGTGGTGTATGCTGATGTATCATTTTACCTGCTTTAATGATGCTTTTGTGTATTTGGGTTTGGAATACAAGTTTTATTATTTTTAATTGGAGATAGTCTTTCATGGAGTAACATCCATTTTTGATGTACTGTAAGCTATTTTAACTGCTTTTTGTAGAAAGGCATCACATATCATTTTAAAACAAATGAAAGGTAAAATTTCCCTCCCCCTTTTCTTTTTTGCTAGAACTCTGTATTCTCAATGTCTGTCCTCCATAAGACTTTTCTACCAACATAACTTTGAGTGACAGATTTTCCCTCCGTACTCACATTTGAAGAGCTCTTCCAGCTTCACCTCAGCATCTTGGTCTTGATGAAAGCATTGCTGCTGCTTGCACAAGATTAAGTATGCACTAGTATTAGTGGACTATACTGCCTTCCCTCTGTCCCTCTCACAATACTCTGCAGGAGTAGTTACACACATTGTAACATGAACGGATGCAGAAATACACCCTTCCCTATAAATGTAGTAACCATAAGCATAAAAATCATAATATTATGTTATCTTGCCATCCTTTCATATATAAAATGTAAAGGAACATAGGCTACATTATTTGCAATTCATTCTGTTTTTGCTTATGAGATGCATCTTAGTGTCCCTGTATATGCATGAATGCAGACATACATTGCATACCTACAAAACCAATAATAATTCCACAATAATGTCTTCCAAAATTATATCCTAGAATATTAGTTCATGTGGAACTTTGTCTCTTGCCATCTAACTTCATATAGTTATTGGTCTAGAAATTCCAGCATCTGGGGTGGTGGGGGGAGCATGTTTGGATTATTTTGTTTTCAATTAATTTCTAATGTAGTTCAGTGGTCAAGGAACCTGCTGATTTGGGCACCTAATTTAGATTCACTGTTCTCAGTATATTCTCTTGTTTTATTTAACCGTTCCAAAGGGGTAGCAATGTTATATCTGTTGCAATAAAAATAAAGGTATTAGTAAAATTGGTAAAAATCAAGAATCCCAGGTACAAAGTAATTAAGTACATATACATAAGTCACATCAGTCAGATGTATCACATTAAAATAAAACAGCATTTGGGGGCTTCTTTTCCCAGAAACCTGACTCGAATTTTCTTTGCTGTAAGTGCAAATAATATGATCTCTTAAGAAATACATTGTAGATAAAACAATTATATCTTGTGATGACCAACCAGTACACTGGGGATGAGAAGGCAAAAATTTCCCTCTTGGGCTTCTGCTGATTTCTCTGAGCCTTCCATTCTGCCAGTGTTGCCTAGGCCTGGGATCCAGTACCTCGATTGCTAGGTAACCCCACAAGGCTGTCAAAATCTCCCAAGATCTCAGTTGGCATTCTCCTTTGGGGGGGATTTTAACCTCCCCCCTTATTATTTCTTTAAACTTTAGATTTTTCTGCAAGCCTGAGGGGGTAGAAGCCATCCCATTCCCATTCTGGGGCCATGTTAAGAATTAAGATTGATAGATGCTGTAAGAAATTCTTTGGACATCATACTGTCCAAAACGCTCTTGCCATTTCACACTTCTTTTTATTTGTATTGTTTTGAATTAGGTTTCACAGTTCTATAGATTCATTCTTTCCAGATTGTATTCTTCCATTGAATGAATTCCATGTTAGTGTTACTAATAGAATGACCAAGGCCTCTTGCATAATTCTAATTCCCTCTCCCCTGTAAATTCTCTTCATTTAATACAGTTGTCAGGTCCATGCAGTTAGTATCCTACTCCTTCTATTAGAAGAATTTCATAGCTTCAAAGGATCTTACCTCCCACAACAGGGCTTTTATAATAGGAAAGGAAAATTCATGGTGAATCAACTGTCTGGAGGGAAAGGGAATAATTAAAGTGCAAAGACCCGGCGGGGCATGTGGCACTCCTTCAGTCAATTAAAGCTGCTTATATCTTTTGAAAAGCATCATGTAAAAAGATATAGTGGTAGAGTCTTCCAATCGTATAAAAAAAGTGAGAAACCAACAAAGATTTGAGGGGGGCACTTTACTTTCCCCTGTATCCCTCTCCCCACACTATTTCCTCTTTCCCACCTCTTGACAGCCCTCACATCCTCTCCCCTTCCCTGCTTCCTTCTCACCCATCAACTTATCTACTTTTTATCCCCCCTATCTTCAGTTATATTTATTATTTATTTACTTCATTTATACCCCTTTTATCTTCACAACAACCCTGTGAGGTAGGTTAGGCTAAGAATGTGTAACTGGCCTAAGGTGAACTTCCACAGCAGAGTGGGGATTTGAACCTGCATCTCCCAGATCCTAGTATGAAACTCTAACCACTACACCACACTGGCTTTTGTGGGGTGGCTGCTGTTGAACAGTAGTAAGCAACCAGTCCTGGGTGAGTCAAGCAAGTATGGTGTCAGCAAGTTGTACATTGATTGCATGTGTACTTAGCCCCAGGAATCCTGCCTCAAAGGCCAAAATAGCCCTGGAAAAAGCCCTGCCCCCCCTCTTTTTTACTGCCAGAAATCAAGGCTTGAAGGCTGGCAATATTGTTGTGGTTGCACAGCAATGATGACTGAGGGTTCCCCCCCCCCTTTTCTTTAGATTTCATGTTTTTCTGCAAACCTGAGACTTGTTTCAGGTTTGCAGAAAAATCCGTTTTGCCTATTCAGATCTCCAGTTTCTGGACTGAAGTATCCACAGATTTGCCCATGTTGAGAATTAGATACAGTGATGATGTAAACTACTCTTCAAACTGCCAGAAAGGAAATCAGTCTATCCTCATGTTGCTAGTAGTATATAATTTTTTTCTTTAACTTTCTCAACCTGGTTTCATTAGGAAATGAAGACAAAAGAGGATGGTATGAGAAACAGCTACAAGTCTTAATGCAGAGATTTTTTAACTGAGCCTTCTTTTCTAATTGACTGATAGATAATGGATACTCAGGGCCAAACTACACCTTACTTGCAGGATCTCATGACATTTTCTTTAATGGTAGAAAGGAATTGAATAGAAGGAGCATTTAGATAGCCAGTTGGGTCTAGTGGTTAGGAGTGGCAGAATCTGGGAAAACCGGGTTTGATTCCCCACTCCTCCACATGCAGCTGCTGGGTGACCTTGGGTCTGCCGCAGTTCTCTCAGAGCTCTCTCAGCCCAACCTACCTCACAGGGTATCTGTTGTGGGGAGAGGAAGGGGAGGAGATTATAAACCACTCTGGAACTCCAAGTGAAGTGCGGGGAATAAATACAATCTCTTCCTCTTCTTTTGTAAACTGGAGCTGCAGAGCAGGGGTAGGTTGAGGAGCTAATCCTTGTTCCCATGGTAGAAATTCCTCTGCTGAACTGCTGTTACTCATTGTAACTAAAAGGACAGATACAGTACGTGTACTTCTCCACACATGTACTGTAACTCATTAGCTCAGAAGGCAACGATTTCTATTGGGGAAACAGCATGGGAGGAAAGGGTTAAAAAATCCCACTCCATTGCTATAACTCAAAATATCCCCTTGCCCTGCCACTGCTTTTTAACATTAATGGCAAATGTTGTGAGAGTCAATCACTAACCTCCCTCCCATATAGAGTTTTGCAGAATTGAACATTTAAAGCTACCATGTGAAGAGACCCAGACAGAGACTGTGAAAGGTCTGTGAGCTTTATTGTCAAGTGTATCTTCATTATAATTTTGGCAGAAATTCAACTCTGTATAGCTGTGATAATCTTCCATTAGTGCTATTCAAAAATATTTATCATAGATAACTTGAAAGGTGCTTATATGAAGTATTTACTACCACTGTTCTGATGAAACCATTAGGCTATAGCGGAGCTCCATTGATTCACATGATTTGGGGGGGGGGGAGACTTTTATTGATTTAATAGTCACAAACTCAACCATTATGTCCTTTTGTACTTTGGTCCAAGTTAATTATTCCTACAATGAGGAGGAACACAGTCTTGAAGAGCTGTGCTTTTTATAAAATCCAAAATGTAGGAGTGTTTTGTTTAAAGTGCTATGGAACGTTTGTGTCAGCTGAAATGATCTCTGCCTACTAGAATCAACTGCTACCAGGGTACTGCTTGGCCATTAAGACCACCGGGCAAAGTTCTGGTGGGCTGATCACTTTTGGGGCTGGCCACCCCAACTGTGAAATGGATGAGAGCCACTGCCACCCTTGGGTTAGTTGCTACTGCCAGGGGGCAGGCACCCCCACCACTGCAAACCAGCACCTCATGCCCTACGTAAGGCAATTGAGCGGGAGCCATGTGGAAGCTGTGGCAAATCTGCTCCTTCCTTCCCTCTCCACCCAGGGGCAGGGTTGGGGCCCTTTCCGGGGCTTTTTTTGCCTCACAATCTCTACCCCAAGTGCTACTTAAACTGCAAATTGACTTCACTAAGTTGCTGCTCACATAAGACTTTGATATTATTTATGCACAAAGTGGGGGGAAATGACTTCTACACAAATCCATTACAGCACTGGTATTTCCATACTGAAATAGGAAAGCAGATCTTTTTTGCTTTTCAGAAGAAACCATCACAGTAAGTGATTCAAGCTGAATGTGTTTGCTCCCTGTCATGATTATGTAGCAGTATTAAAATTGTATTCTAGCTAAATTTATCTCCCCTCCTCATGAAGCATTGAATCACCCAGGCACCTTCCATCTCTCTTCCTTTTGGGGGTGATTGTCCAGTAATCTAAGAATCCTCGGTCATTGATGAAAAGAAGTTTGACAAAGGAAAAAGGAGGGAAAGTCTTCCATTTAGTAGGTCCTTATGTTTTAGTCTTCCACTTATCAGGTGCTTAGGTTGAAGGCAAAAAGCAATCGTAGTAATCATTCCCTTCAGAGTTTCACTAGTAGCTTTTTGAGTTCTTCTAAAACCATTATCATTTATTAGTGTTTTAATAGACCAGTGTTAAGCTGATAGACTATTCTTATGGCTATTTCTATTTTAGTGAAAATATGTTCAACCCCCTGCAAGAACTCAGAATGGGCAAAAGCTGAAAATATAAATAAAGTACATACCAAACTGTTCATTTTGGCATGGATTCCTTTTAGGTTTTTTGCTACATACAGTTGTGAATGCAGTGTATAATGTCTTGGGAAATTATTTTTATTTATTGGTTTATTTGAACTGTGTGCCACATAGATATAAGCCCTCAGTTGATTCTTGGAGGACTTTTGCTATACAAGCCGCATATTTTCTATGACTGTAAATGAGAGATCTGTTACCCAGCTTCTTCTGCTCTTATTTTCTCCATTTTATATACGGTACCCTCCTTTGTTAGGCAATGTTTTGTTTCTCACACATCCCATTCCACACACCACAGCTACCCTTTAATCTTTACTGCAACCCTTTTATCTGTATTGTCCCTTTTAGAATCTTGGGTTTCTTTGGGGTGGTCAACATTGTGCTTCAGATTAAAAACAGGTTTTCCTTGGCACACAATCACAGAGTGCAGGACAGTTAGAACAGTCCTAAAAACTGAAGAATGGGAGAGAGAGAGAATCTATTGGCCTTGGTTTGATATTTCTCTTGTGGTTCAATTCTACTTTCACCTTGTCTCTTTTGACTCCTCCTACTAGCATATACTAAGAACCAAGGGGACATTGCAACTCAGGGCTGGTTTATTGGACTGATGTGTGCCATCGCTCTTCTGGTCCTGATTTTGCTGATAGTTTGCTTCATTAAGAGAAGCAGAGGAGGGAAATATCCAGGTAAGCGAAAAAGCAGTCTCTTAGGATAAGTGTGTGTTTTAAGTATTTAATTCTGCATCTAATTAGATCTTAAGATCTTAGCAATAGCCTTCCCACTGGAAGGATTTATACCTCTATGTTTTGAACATCTGTGGCACTAAAAAGAATTAATCTCATTAAAGGCAAGACAAGTAGGATTTCTTGCTAGATAGGAGGTAATGCTACAGATCCCATTACCTTTGTTACAGCTTGACCTCACATTTGCTCAATGTGTTGGCTCCTTCAATGCATGCAATAGAACTTTTTCATGAAAGAACCTCATTAAAATGTTCAAAAGATGGGGAAAGGGCTGAGCAGTAACATATCGTGCCTTTCCTCACATCCTTTTGGGTTGTATACTGTGGCTGTGTAATGATCACCATGATGTCTTCCAAGATCTAACAACTTGTAAGTACAAGGCAGCTTGGAATCAGATCCTGAAAGACACATTAAAGACTGAGGCAAGGAACTTGGAGTATTAAGCTATATGTTGAACAACAACAACAATCGCCTTAGTGCATGAGAATGACAAGCAATTACAAGGGCTAAAAGGTAACAAAGATCTAGATCCTTACATCAAATAGAAACAATAACGTTTCTGCAGTAGGAGGCTTATTGAGTACATTTTCTGCCTCTCTTGAGAGACAGTGCTTAGCAATACACTAGCTATGGTTACATTTAGAGGTCCTTCATGTAACACCTCCCCCCTCTAAAAGAAAATGCATTGTAAAGAGCATTGTGATGGATGTGAGGCAAAGGAATGACTTCTTCCAATCTTTCATCTCCTTACAATATCAGCAGGAAGGACAAAAAATCAAGGGTGGACACACCAGGGTACATATGAGGGTTTCTGCCTGCTTTTACAAGCAGCATATGCATATTGCAAGAGTAGGTAACTGACAATCCAGTGGTATGGAAGGAAATAACAAGACCCACCTTTTCTTTGTAAGAGGTATTCTTCTGGTTTTGTCCAGTTGCTAGAGGTACTTCTGTATTGTTTTCCCTGAGCCCTTTGCCAAAACTGTAACCTTATTTATGTATCAATTCAGAACATATAGAAAAAAGATAATATGAAAACGAATACATACAACAGTAGAAAGGTGCTACATGAGTTCAGGATGAACTATTATGTGCCCTATCTGGCCATAGGAATACCTCATTTTCTCAGTTATCTGTTACAGGGAAAGGTAAGACTGTGTACTTGTGTATGACAGATTTATGCACATTTTTGCTACAAAATGGTATAGATGGCTAAGTCTGGGAATTTGTGATAATGAAAGGCTTAAAGAATTTGCACATCATCTTAAACAGGTTATTAGGAAGTTCTATTAATAATCCCAAGGTTTACTATTTGTAATTTATAATAGTCTCTCTTTAATTATAACTTCCATGCCACAATATCCTCTCGTACTTTTATTACTACCAAATCTCTTTCTCTCCCCCCCGCCAAATGGTAATAGGGGTAGGTTTTTTAAAGACTTCATTGAAACAATACTGGAATAAAAGCGATTATAACAAGGCATATGGGCTTGCTGTATTGTATAACTCTTTGAGCTCATGGAACAGTTTCCCAGTAATTCCAGTACAAGTGCCAACTGTATTACTTACAGGACAATTTGCTTATTCCAGTTCATCTCCAATGTTCAACAAACATAATTTTGAGTCTGACATTCTCAGGGGGGGAAAAGGTATAATAAATACTGAAGTGGCAGCAGACAAGATTTTAAATGGGCTTGAGCTAGAATTCTGCTTGACTTGGGATTTATATGCATCACATTTATCCACTGGCCCATGGTTAATTTTTCTTCTTGTCTCTTTAATAAAATCATTCCACATTCTGTGTCAGTATTTAAAAACATGAACCGATCAGTAGCTTTACAAGTATATTTGCCACAGCTTTATTTTATACAAGACATGCTCAAACTTCCAGATCAGTTACTGTTCTTACTTCAGATCCTTCTCAGGTGGGTTCCTCCACATAAATGCAAAAACAATTCAATAAGTTTGGAAAACATGAAAATAAGTCCTATAAAATTATTGTTCGTGTTTAATTGTTTGCCCATATCTTCACAGTGCGAGAAAATAAAGATGTGCCCCTGGACCCTGATGACCAGAAGGTAGATAACGGATCATTTGATTACAGGTATGTTTCCTGCTTAGCATGTTTAACATGTGTGTCCTGTCTCACACTTGCTCCTTTGTTGATTCAAAAATCATCAAGATACTACCATCTCATAAATCTACATCTTCAGCTGCCTCCTGTCCCTTCTGCTTCAAGATTTCTGCAAAGGAAAGTAAAAGGCTAATACACAAGCCTTACTAAATCATAGGACGTGTTCCCTAGACCTATTTGGTTTCAGGCTGTAGCTGCAGGATTTCAGATTTAGAATTTTTCTTTACTTTATAATCTCCCTGCCCACAGGAAAATTAACCTATCAATGGAAAGGTTTCTAACTTTGTTTGAGCAGATGGGGGCATCCTGCAAGAGTACCACTGTAGGGACTGCATCACATGATTTATCTAGATGTGTAGATGAGCTGAACTCTCCTAAAAATTGAAAGGATAATAACATGTTCTTGCTGAGGACTAAATTCTTTCTGAGAGTGGATTTTGCTTCAGTGAAAACCACCATATCAGATAAGAAAGCACAATACAGATACTATGACACCAACACTTTGTGGGTCTATCATATGTGCCCAAGTTAGGGTGCTTAGTGGCATCTTAAAGGTGGATATTTGTCTTCATGTTCAAAAAAGGGGCAACCCAACATTTCTCAGATTAGACCTAAAAAAAATTTCTGCACTTTGAAAAAGCATCCTGATAAATTCCAGACTTTCCCCGCTAAGCACCCTAACAAAGAACTCCTACCGTATGTAGAGTTACTCCAGTCTATTGAATTCAATGGGCATATGCTGGAGTAACTCTGCACAGGATTACATAACTGATTTTGTCAATAGCCTCTATGCAGCCTAGCAAACCCACTTCATAGACATTTATAATGGTTGACCTTATTTCATTGCTACCATCACCCCCCCCCCAACCTAATGATATCCTTTTAAGGACAGCAGCCACTTTTATCTCAGCTTCCCAAAGCAAGCTGTTTTCTTTGGCTGTTCACAGATGGGTCCTGCGTTCATGGTTTACATTTGTTTCCCCATTGCTTCCAAGGAATGGAAACAGGTAACTCTGTTAGCATTTGCTAAATTAATTGTGTTTTGGTAATATAAATGACTTCAAGCAAATCTGCTTTTTGGTACATTAGGACCTTGTTCTGCGGTGTTAAACAAAACACCAAGGTATTCAAAACTCACAGGATAATTCGGTCAATTACACTGGATTTAGATTTGGGCCCTGTGTTCGGAGAATGACTAGGTAACCAACAGAAATACAGTTACAAGACTTACTGAAAAATGCCCCGTGAGATCTGGTCTCTTGAATACCAAGTTGCTGAAAGAGTTCCCTACATTATTTTGAAAGAAGCACAATGTGTAAACCTTGCAGCATAAAACCATATGACCAAAGGTTAGATGACTGGATTGTCTGAGGACTGAGCTTGTTTAGCTTTTCTGTGATCATTGCATTCCAATAGTGACTGTTTTCCTCAAAAGGATATACTAGACATTCAGGGCACTTTTTAACACACTGATTTCTTACCCTATAAACTGTAATCTTTCTCTTATTTGCACACACAAATAAGGTGGTTTTCTCAAGCTCTTCTAAAATGTTTTAAAGCAGTGATCTTCAATACATGGCTTATGACCCTCAGTGGGGATGCAGAGCCTCGGGGCTGCTTCACATGATACTAAATCCTTGTGGCATAGTATCACATATGTTCTGGGAGTTCTGTGCTTCCCAAGCACACATGGGTCCAATTGGCATCACTACCATGGCATGCATGGAGAAGGGGCTGACGCCTCCTTCCCACACACACTACTGTTTTCCAAATGTTCACATTGGAAAGTCTCATTTGCTTGGTCACAAGCCCTTATAGATCTACCATTTTTAGGCTCTTTGGAAGGCCCTATTGCTAGTGCGCATGCATTGAGAGCAAAGGCACACCCAAGCTTCTGCATTTCTTTGCATGCACACTGAGCAGAGCAGCAGGATGGCTAGGCAAAATTAGTCAGCATTGAAGGGTACTCCATTTTTAGATGGGTAAATTCTTTGACACTTCTCCCTGAAAGAGCTTTCTCTTGCCTGTCTTGCCTCCCCTGGCCATCCATATACTCTGACAGTTAGTCCTCCAATTCTCTACACATATGCAAAAATTCTCCTTTGCCTTTTCTCTCTTCCTCCATCTCAGTCACCCAACATCACCATCAGATGGTCTTGTAGTGGTCCACATGCACTTGTGGCATGGAGCCTCTTCTTCCCACTGATGATGTCATAACTGGTCCTTCATCATGTCACATGCCTTCTTGCCACATGCTTACAGCTCAGTCCTATACTACTGCTTGGGGATTAACACAGATTTTAAAGGAATAGCATGTTCTTTTATCAGACTTTTATTCCATTATGCCCTTTTTTAGTACATGTAAGTGTGAAGGATCAGTTCTAATCTAAGCAAATGGTGGGAAAAAAGAAGTTGCCAATCTCCCTGTGTGGCCTGGGAATCTCCCAGAAATCACTGTGTTCCCCAGCCACAGCACATCATTTCCTCTAAGAAAATTTGCCAACTATTGCAACTGATCTCCAGATGACCAAGATCAGTTCTCCTGGAGACAATGGCTGCTTTGGGCAGTGGGCTCTATGGCATTATACCCTGCTGAAGTCCCTTCCATGCCCCAAACCCTGCCCTCCCCAGGATCTACCCCTCAAATTTATGGGTATTTCCCATCCCAGAGTTGGCAACCATGTAATCGGCTATGGAACCACTTTCCAGACACTTGGAACCAATGTTCCCTCTAAGCCGTGGAGTCTTGTGAGCAAAAATCCCACTTTGTGAGCGACTGGCATCAAAGTTGTGAGCGAGCGACTTGGCTACTGCATAAATTAGGTTACTCTGGAGCCCTCCTTCATGAGCCAAGACAAAAATGTGTGAGCCGGAGGCTAAAAAACTGTGAGCTAGCTCACACTAACTCAGCTTAGAGGGAACACTGCTTGGAACCCAGAAAACATGGCAGGTGCTTTTCTACCTTCGCTGCCACTGCATAGCCCCAAATCAACATAAGCCAACCTCTAGGCGGCAACCGGAAATCTATTACAACTGATGTCCAGATGACCAAGATCAGTTCTTCTGGAGACAATGGCTGCTTTGGGCAGTGGATTCTATGGCATTATACCCTGCTGAGGTCTCTCCCCACCCCAAACCCTGCCCTCCCCAGGCTCTACCCCTCAAATCTACAGGTATTTCCCATCCCAGAGTTGGCAACCATGTAATTGACTATGGAACCACTTTCCAGACCCTTGGAACCCAGAAGACATGGCATAGGAGGAGGTGCTTTTCTACCTTAGCTGCCACTGCATAGCCCCAAATCAACATAAGTCAGGGGTGGAGGGAACCATACCTGTTACCATGAGGCTGTCCTCCCATACTACCCACTTGGGGCAGCAAAATGACTTGAGACAGCCCTGCCTTATAGCTAAGCAGAAGGAAATAAACATGGCTTGCCTCCCTCTATTTTCCCCTTCCCTCTGCCGCCCCACCAGCCACAGCCGGGACACTCACCTGGAGCTTCCTTCTAGAGCTCGTTGTATTTTTCCCCACAACAGACCTTACTCCTAGTAATCTATAAGGAACAAGTTAAATATATTAATTTAAATTTAAAGTCCAAACACTATTGCATCTGAAACTTTGCAAACGGTGCTATGTTGCTTTTCGAAAGGGTTGCTTGAGGGTTCACGAAAACACATCTATGACTATAATGTTGACTACTTTAAAAGAGACAGTTCAGTTTCTTCTCGTGTACTTTCATCTTCTGTTAGAAATGAGTTGGGCCAATCCCTCTAAAGTTAAAAGCTGTTTCGTCTGTGAACTACTGCACAAGTTTACACAGGGAGTTAGAGAAATGATAGATCCCTCAAGTGTCCAGAAATGAAGGTGAATTTGAATACCTTACAGAGAAATAGGGCTGGCTGATTAAGATGCACACCCATTGATAGCATTTCTTTCCAGTCATCATGCTTTACTTTACAAACTAACTGGCTTATTGGGGTGTGTGGGAGAGGGGAGGGAAACTGACTTGGATGTTAGACCAGAGAAGAATACTGTTGGAATCTAAAAGGTGAACAGGATCTGAGCTGACATGCTTTCTTTATTGGTTTGCTTTCTTCCTTCACAGAAGCATGCCTGATATGCTCTCATCATACCCTTCACATCTTTGGTGCCCTGTGCATGCGAAATTCCAATCTCTGTAGCTATAATTAAGAGTTAACTGTCACTTCTTTCTCCTCTGCTGACAGAATAATGGTCTCCTTGTGCAAAGGCTAAACTAAGTCAGCTTGAAACCATTATCCTTAGATAGCATTCTGTTCCCATAACTATGCCTTCCTGTACCAACTGATTGGTTTACATAGGAAAAGAGGAGAGTAGGGTGCCTAACAGGATAAAATAGAACTAGAATACTAAAACACTAAGGTCATTTTTCTGCTCCAACTTGCTACTGCCTGCTTTTTTCCTATAGCATTATTGGGCTCCAAATCAGCCTAACACAGGAGGCAGCAGAGCCAAATTTCCAAAATACAAATCAGTGGTGCTTCTGTAGAGCATGGCAATAGTGAGTGTGGGTAGTTGCCAAGTGATTGCTAAAAATCAGGAGTGCTTGCTCACACCTGAATACTGTTACCCAACAACTTCTGGAAAGTAGTTTCACATGAACGCAGGTGACTTTGTTGTATGGGGTCATTTGTGCTACTATTTCATGATGCCAGAAAATACTCTGAAGATAGAACTGGCTGTCTGAAGGTAGAACTGCTCTCAGCCACTTTTCTGATACCAGATGTTCTTCCTAGTTGATAATAGGATTCCTATTCATTATGGTGACTTAAGCAACCTCACGTTTTTTCTGTGCCTGCCCAGTCCCCATTACAGTCACTACTGAAGGAGTGAAAGCATGTTATTTTTACTCTATTAAGGCAATTTTCTGTGTCAGAAAATATGCCTGTTAAAGTCTGTGAATAATGGCATTAATGTATCTTTGTATCACTGCAGAGTGTGTACCACCCTACCAAAGGTGAGCTATAAA